GCTCACCTCCCTGGAGGTGCTCCCTGGGAAGCTGGTGCTGTGGGTTAAGCTGCAGGTGTGTGTGGCACTAAGTCACCAGGTATGGAACTGACCTCCTTCTGTCGTTCTCTTAGGCACCAATAAGAATGAAACCTCCTTTGGGCTGGAGATGTCACAGACGGGCTTCTCGTCTCACGTGGTGGAGGTACGAACCTGTCAGAGCCACCCTCCCACACACTCGGTGCTCTCGTTCCTCATCCACCTTTCCTGGGCTGTCTCTATCGCCCTTTCTCTGTCTCCCTGCCTCCCATTTGCTGTGGCTGGAAGAGGGACGTCAAGGTCTTCATCTTACAGTAAGTTGTCTCACTCTCCCTGCGCAGAGTGCTGATGGGGACATTTCCTTCAGGACCAATGGTCCCATCTAGTCCACAGAGCCTTGTGTAGAAACTAGGCCAACACGGCAAAGCCGACTGCACGTGCTCTAATAGCTCCTGCATGCGACCGAGGAGGCCTGTGCATGCAGGGGCGCAGCCCTGCAATGACGTTAGGAGGGTGTTCAGACGTGTCTGATGTGCTCCGGCAGGTGGCCTACATGGGCCCCCTCTTGGTGCGAACTCGGCGTCAGATTACAGAGATCCCAGGTGGGCACATGGTGTCACAAGCAGCATGTCGTGTCTGGTGCTCTGCATCACCGTCACTTGCCCTCCGTATACTTCACCTGGTTCTGATTCACGAGCTAGAGCTGAAACCTTACACCATCGCCAGAGGCAGAGTCAACACTGGTGAAAATGCTTTATAAACTGTTTGAGTATAAGCCCTGCCCAGGAGTACCCTGTGCAGGGAGGGCCATGTGGGCAAAGCCTGGATGTGTCTGTGTCAGCGCGTGCTCTTGTGGGCGTGCTTTGCACAGACAGGTGTCCAGGTGCATGCACATGTCCCGCCCAACTCCTCTATGAGATGAATAGGGCGGGATGCCTTGTTCCCACCTTCCAGCTTAAGAAACCAAGTCACAGAATGGCTGAGTGACCTGCTGAAGTGCTCTGTGTGAGAGAAATATTCATCTCAGTCTCTCCCCCACACCAAACAGCTGCTCTGTGAGCGAGTATGGAATCTGAGGGCTCTGAGTCGGAAATGTCACATCGGAGGGGAAGGGGACATACGCACAACATGCAGCAGGCAGATGGGAGGAAACTCACCTCACGCTCAGCTTTTCCTGAGCAACATCTGAACAATGCCACCCCCACTGGAATACAGCAAGATGTGCGTGTCACGGCCCACAATCCTGACAGTCAGTTATGCGCAGAGCACTTTACATTTTTCCAGGAATTCCAAATTTCTGCACCCCATTCATGCTCAGAAACAGTCCTGCCAAGTTGGCAGGTGATAATAGTTGTCCCGTTTTAGGTGGTCCCATCAGCAAATCTTTCCAGTTCTCCCTTCGTGCTGGGTCCTGTGCGGGGTCCCATGAGGTACAGACACCAGAGCCCTGACCTCAGGAGCTCGCAGTACGCAGTACAAGGGTAAGAAGCCGGCATGAGGAGACACTAGAGCATTCGGCAAACAGGTCAGGCGGCAAGTCATGTGCTAGTCAGGACTAGCCCCATTCTCCTAACTCTGGGGTCAGGGCTGATTAGAAAATTGAACAAGAAATCCAATTTAATTAAATCCAACAAGCATTTATCAAATTCAACTAAGGTACCAGAAGGAACCAGAATTTCCTCTTACCACCAGGAGTCAGTCAACTTTTAAACAATCCAGAGCAGCCGTCCTCATCTTTGAGAGTAGGATAAAAGCAACTATAGATTTCTCCTAGGTAAAAATGTACAACTTCAGGAGGCCCCCATCCATGGAGCCCTTGTGAAGACCCCTGCTCACTGGGGGAACCACAGGTATACATCTAATGCTAATCAAGACAGCATGTGATCAGGGTCTCAGAGAAGGAAAGGCCCAGGCAGGGGGAGGAGCCATCACAGAAGGATCTGGGGAGGGGCTGGCACTTGGGCAGGCCCCTGAGGACAAGGATTGCTGCAGCCATAGTGGCAGTGAGAGAAGAGAGGAAGCTGGTGTGCACAACGCTGGGGAAATCTGAGCACACGTGGGGGCCAGCCCTGATGCTGGGGACAGTGAGAGAGAGGGAATGTCCCTTGTCTCCTTCGTTCATTCTACAGTCATTCCTTGAGCATCTCCCTATGTGTCAGGATCTGTACCAAGAACTGGGGACATATAAATAAAGATTAAGGTAATATTTCAGCTGAGAGCAGCTCTAAGTCTAATTGGGGAGAAAGATTCTTAAATAAGTTCAGCCTCCTGCTTCCCATACTATGATCTGTGTACACCCAGAAATTGGGGAACCTTAAGAAAAGGGAAGTTAACATGAACTTCAGGTATTTGGGGACACTTGACTTCTGAAAATGGCCTACGCAGCTCAGTGTGTGGAGCAAGGTGAGTCCTTGAGGACCTTCAGGTTCCCCAGCTGCAGGGGGGAGACCAGAAGCTCAGAGCCCCAGCTTGTTATTGAGGTCAAGGTCATGCATTGCCCCGTGCAGCTTCTTCTACATGCTCACTTCTTCTGTTGCCCATTGGAGAGACCAGGGTAGTTCTCCCCATTCTGTAGATACAGACCCCAGTTCTTCTACTGGCCCAAGTTTTGTTTTCAAGTGACAAGTATCTGGAATTTTTTATGTGTTAGGACTTTAAAAGAGAAGATGATTACTTCAGAATCTAAAACTCCTTAATACTTAAAAAAACAAAAAAACAAACTTCCAAATCCAAAGGAATGGTGCATTGATGGTGGGCTGTCTGGTGCTGTGACCAGCCACTGGGTTACACTTTTAGAGCACAGAAATTTTTCAGTGCCAGCCAGTGATGCCATCATAATTGGCCACAGCCACCGTGTCCCTGTGAGGCCAGCTCTGCAGCTCTCAGGGTCAGTCAGATCTCTCTGGGGATCCGGGGCAGTTGGGCCCAGCCTTTTAGCTTTGCCCAGAGCAGGTCCTGAGCCCAAGTGAGTTCATCTGCTGGGCGAGCCCCCAGGCTTCATCTCCCCCAGAAGTGCTTCACCCTGACAGCCTCAGACAGCTACTTCCTGCAGCTGTGCTGAAGGAGCCTTCAGCTGCCCAGAGCCTGTTTAGTTACGTCAGAAGAATGGTCCTAGTTCTGGGAGAGCGGCCCAGTAGAATGTTCTCAAGTGGCAGAGGAAAAGCCCAGCAGCTCATCACCTGGTCTGCTGCCACCTGTCAACAAAGAAACCAACCTTTGAGTTAAGAAGGGTCGAGGCAACAAAAAGAAGGAGGCCCCAGAGCCCAGGATAGGAAAGGACACCCCAGGACATCACCTGGCCACTGGAAGAGCTCAAGGCTCCAGACCACAGAAATTGCATGTTTTTGAGGTCATTTTTCCTGTAACCTACACATGATGATCTGACACCCTCCTGCCTCTGCAGCTTGTGCCCTTCCCACCTGGGTTGTAGACTGGATAGCTAAAGTTATTGGCTGATGGCTGAAGATCAGAGCCGCTGGGGGAAACTGAGAGAGCTGGAGCCAACCCAGGAAGCTCTAGTTTGGATTTGAAAAAAGGGAAAAGAGAATATCCTGGAAATTACCATCAGGAAGACCATTCTAGAACAGGCCCTAGCTGGGTTTGCTCAGTGGTTAGAGCATCAGCCCTTGGACTGAAGGGTCCTGAGTTCATTTCCGGCCAAGGGCACGTACCTCAGCTGCAGGCTCAATCCCTGGCCGGGGTCAGGGCACATGCGGGAGGCAACTAGTCAACGTGTCTCTCTCACAGTAATGTTTCTCTCTCTCTCTCTCTCTGAAAAACAATGGAAAAAATATCCTTGGGTGAGGATTAAAAAAAAATTCTAGAACAGATATTTAAGCCAATGCTTTCATTAGCTTTTGGAAATACATGTGAAGGTCACTAATAGCTGGAATAGCTTCTATTATTGCTGGCTGTCTGCTAAGGTGGTGAACTCCCTATCAAGCTGGGTAATCAAGAAGAAGCTACCAGAAAGCTTGCAGAAGGGATCCATACCTCCGAAGGGGGCATAGACTCTATGAGTCTATAATCTCCATGGGCTACAAGGGGAAGGTGTGGAGAAAGGAAGAGGGCTATAAATAATTGATGCCCTTTGGTGATGGATGGAGTCTCTGGAACTCCTCCTACACAAGAACTCAGAGGAGGAATTTTACATTAAACATCCCACACTGCAGTCCATAAATCCCCCTCAACACCAAAAGTTTACAGAAGGAAACAGTTTTATTAGGGTGGGTCTGTCTACAAAAACTTTGGTGACTCACCCCAAGATAAAAAGAAATCATTGTTCCTGTAACCTGCACATGATGATCTGACACTCGCCTGCCTCTGCAGCCTGTGCCCTCCCCACCCTGGGGTGTGGGCTGGGTAGCTAAAGTTATTGGCTGTATCTAATGTTCTTAGCTGTTGAAGCCTTAAAGCTGTTATCTTTCCTAAGACTTTTGCATTTGAACTAGTTTTGCAAATCTGATTCAATCCAAAGTGAAAGAAACTAATCCATAATGGTGAAATGACCCAGAGGCTGTGAACCCCCCTGAGCCCCCATATGCCTAAACAATGGGGAAGACTCTTCCACCTGCCAGTCAGGACTGCCCATTGGGGCTGTCCGTGGGCCCCTCCCGTGAGGCCAGGACATGGTAGCCAAGGTCTTCTGGCAGCTTATTCCAGATTCTTTACAAGGTGACTCTTGGTGGCAGGAATCATGTCTGATTCACTAAGGTCCTCGTAAACCCAGCCGTATGTCCTTGGGCTGTGCCCAGCACCCCTCTCCTGGGCCTCATTCCCGGAAACTGAGCAGAGGCACCAACCCTCTGATCCTGAATGAACAAGTGCACTGTGGCCCTTGACCTCCACAGCCCCTCCTCACCGCCCTGGCCACCAGTGTCCAGCAGCACACGGGTGAGGGGCTCCTCTCCACAGAAAGGTTGAGGACCGGTTTCTGGGTCTTTCTTGCCCAATCCTATCAAAACGTCCTGGCACTCACCCTTCCTCAGGCTCCACTCTGAGCTTGTTGAAAACAAGTCTCATGCCAGAATCCAAGCAACTAGTTAAAGCATAATCCATCCTCTTAATGATATATTTGCCTTAGAAGGGACTTTTGAGAATAGAGTCCTGCCCCCTCTAGAATCACTCTGACAGTGGACACACAGGCACTAGGGAGCCATGGAGAGCCTGGGGGAGGAGAATAGCACTCCGTGCCCTCTGGGTGGTCTCCCTGCACGCCAGCGCCCAAGACCACCAGTGACCACCTCCACCTGCCTCCACAGCCCTGCCTCTCCAATGCCAAGAAGAATTGCTGGCATCTAGTATCCTGATTCCATTACTGCCTGGCTATGCAGCCTCAGACAAATCATTTAACCTCTCTGAACCTTATTCTTGGAATAGATGTCTGAAAAATATTTGTAGAATTGAATCTTGAGGCTTGGAACTGAAGTGTGCATTTTGAGACTTATGTAATAATCGACCAAGTAAGGTTTTCTTAAAATCCTTTCTAACTCCACTATGCACCCACTCCCTCCCTCTGTTGGTCCCCCCTCCTGCGGGCCCCAAAATAGGCTGTCCTTGCCTCCACAAAAGCACTGCTCACAAGCTGACGTGAAGACACATCTGTAGCACCAACTTGACTGTGACATATGATTCTTTGACTCCTGCCTCCCGGAAGTGCTTTATGGATGAATTAATGAATGACAAGAGCTACTATGTACCAAGTCCTTATTAGCTGCCAAGCACCTGCTAAGAATTAAAAATGCTAATTCTTACAACAAAATAGCTGAGGATCCTGAGGCTCAGAGAAAGAAACTTGCTGAAGGTTATGCAGCTAGAAGCTTTGGAGGTGGAACTGGAAGTCAGGAACGTGTGTGTCCAGAACTCATGCTCTAACCACTCGGCCAGGAATTCTCAACCTCAGCTCTATTGCCGATCCGGGCTGGGTACTTCTGTGCTGTGAGGCTGTCCTGTGCACTGTAAGTGTTCAGCAGCACCCCTGCCTCTACCCACCAGGTGCCACAGCAACCCCAACACCGCCCTCAGTTGTGACAACCAAAACTCTTTCTAGGCATTGCCAAATGCTACCTGGGGGCGAAGCAAACACCAATTGGAAACCACTGCCCTAGATTATACTGTTTCCAGGGCTGGGGATGTGGCTCAACCCTGGCTGGGGAGATGGACTGTCTGGAGCACGGAGCTTGCGAAGATATAGTCACAAGCCCAGGGAGCATCCAGCTCGTCTGGGGAGGCAAGACTGCTGCAGAGGCCAACTCCGAGGGCAGGCAAGAGCTGAGCTGGCAGATCTGACAGTGGGCACTATGCTCAGGCTGGTACGAGTGCAGGTCATCCTCAGGGAGGGCACAGACTTGGCCTCCAATCTTCTGAGGGCCGCCAAGTCTACATCCTCATTTTTACACAGAGTGCCGGCGAAGTCAGCTTGTGCAAAGGGTCCATCTGTGCAAGGCCACCCAGGCACAGCCTGGTAATATCTGGTGGGAGCCCTAGCGGCTCCATAGGAAAGGAGGTCATAAATCGGGGCAGGTGCCAGGCCTGGAGCGTGGGACTCAGCTCTTCCCCGGAATGCCCTGCTGTTTGTTTCCCAGCCAGGCCTGCATGCCTGGCTTCCTCTGTCAAGACTTTGGTCCCATGCTTCCAGAATTTTTTCAAACTCCAGGTGTCTGGGCTCCCCCAGCTGGGAAAAGATTGTGACATAATGAAGTCGCTGTGGTAGCCTTCGCTTATGCTCTCGGCCAGCCCTCTCCTCACAGTGCACACTGTCCTCGGTGGGGCTCTCCCAGCCCCCAACTGACCCCTCTCAGGAAAGGGCCTCCAACTGGAAGCACAGCCTGCAGCTATTACCAGGGTAAAATGGCATAAGTAAGAGCCTGTGAGCCACCACCCGGCCAGTGCTGCCAAATCCAGGAGCCCGGCGGAATCCCCCAGCCCACATGTGGCAATTCAGCATCTGGTCCCCCAGCAGAATCCCAGGCACCTGGGTTGAGCCAGCCCTTCTCAGTGCATTACAGAGGCTTCCAGTCATCTGCAGCCAAAAATTCATCTTCAAAGTTTCCTCTGTGAAGCCAAAAAACCTGGTCTGTAGTTGCAGACTTGAACTTAGCAGGCAGAGAGAGGGAGGAAGGGAAGAGAGAGGTGAAGCCCAAACGCTGCACTCCTCCCAGAGCGGAACTCAGATGGAAAACTGGACGCAGGACCAGAGGCTTCAGGGAAGCAGATGGGTATTTTCACTTTTCCTCAACCCACCTCCCTGATTGAAGTCCCAGTCTCACCTCTGACTTGTTGTGTGACCTTAGCAAGTCCCTTTCCCTCTCTGAAGCTCATTTGTCAAGTGCAGATAATGAAATATGTCCTTCTGGCCTCATGCAAATGGGTGACTGGATGAGAAAGTGTTCCGAAAAGAGCAGAGCACACTCAAGTTTAGGAGTGTTGGCAGTGACTGTGGGCAGAGTCCTTGAGGCCCCGGCCCTGATCCTGGCTCCAGCAGATCATCGGATTCTCCCAGGCTGAGGCTCGAACAGAGTAGGAGGAAGAAAGCTAATCAGAAAGGATGACATTAAACACAACCAAACACATCGGACTCTCCCCAGACCAGCTTATTTATTATCATGAAAACACTGAACAATCAGTTCTACCTTTAGGATATTGGGATTTTGAACCCTTTGATAAGATCAACTTTATTCCCTGAAGTGACACCTTGGAAATGAGGAAAAAAAGCTCTGCTTAAGGTTCACGATCTTGCCCCCTCCTCCGCCACCAGTGACACTACTGCAGGGAGCCCCTGTCTATGTTTAGTTGGCTTTGATTGTCCCAAGGCCAGAATCACATTTTTCTATTGGCACCGTTGCTTTGGGAATAAGAGGAGACTGAGCGCCTTGGGCCCCAAGTGCTGAGGAAGCCTCAAATCCAGACAATCAGCCGGACTTAGGGAGGCTCAGTGGGAGGAAGGTGACACCACTAGTGCTTTAACAGCCCAAAGCTGGGATGCAATCTGCTTCCCATCCTTCAGCCCCTAATCACCAGCATAACCCAGGAAGGCAGCCCCTCTCTGCTTCCACCACCCTTCTCATCCCTCATTGCCCCTGCTCACTTCTCTTCCTCTTCTAAGTGCTTGTTGTTTGTCTTCCTATACCCCTGATTCTGTGGATTGTTTAAGGAGGTGGGATGGTGGTGGAGAGGGTGCAGGGGCAGCCCAGAATGTGAGTGGACCCCATCCTTGGTTAAGGACCCTGGACTCAATAATATGGAGACTTCACCTCCAGGAGCCAGCACCTCCTGTCTTCTTTCTTGCAATATTCACGTATAACTAATGACAAGCTCTGTCCTCGGAGTGTTGGTTGCCGTGAGTGTGGCCTTGGCTCATCTGTCCGGCCTCATCTTGAACCACTCTGCTCTCTCCCACTTCGTGTTCCAGACCCATCAAACAGCTTTCAGTTCCTTGAAACCAATAGCTCTAAACTCTCTCCAGCCTCAGGGCCTTTGCACAAGTTGTCCCCACCCCCTCCAGGTGTCTGGGCAGGCATCACTTACTCAAAAATGCTTTTGCTGACCCCCTTCTTAATCGAAATAAAACCCCACTGTGTCATTTATTACATCCCTCATCACATTTATCACAGTTTGCAACCATTATATTTATTCATGTATTCATTTAGGATCTTTGAGCTCAATAAGGTTTCTGGCACAAAGTAAACGCTCTGAATTTTTACTTAAAAAATGAAGCAATAAGATTTACACACAGGGAAGCAACTCACACACTACAGAGGAATGTGGAGGGGGACCAAGTGCAGGGGCACAGCTGGAAGGAGCATCAGAAGGAAGGAAGAGTGACAAGAAACTTCCTGGAGGGGTTCTGAAGCCCAAAGAGTGCTGGAGGTTTGGTCATGGATTTGGAGTTTCTTTCTAGAACATTCCTTCTCTCCTAAGATCTGATCCTTGGGATGAGCTTGACCCATTTTGCTCTAAGGATGGGTTGGGGCAAGAAGGTCCTTGCATCACTCAAAAGCCAAGGATTCTGGCTACAGTAAGATTGGGCTGTTAAATAGTGGAGGCGGGAGAAGGTGCCCAGGGTGGCTGGCAGATGCTTCATGGTGCAGGACCCGGTGTAGCTGCCCAGAGAGGGGCACCTGGGGAGATAAGAGCTGATGTGTGTCCCCTCCCCATTGCCAGGACGGGATTCTGCTGGGAGCCGTTGGTGCCTATGACTGGAACGGAGCTGTGCTGAAGGAGACCAGTGGCGGGAAGGTCATTCCTCTCCGAGAGTCCTACCTGCAGGAGTTCCCCGAGGAGCTCAAGAACCACGGCGCATACCTGGGTGAGAGCCGGAGCGAGGGCTACTGATGGGCAGTGGGCAAGGAGGGGACCCAGGGGAGCCAGAACACACCCACACACAACACTACCCAACAAGTAAGTAGGTAGAATAACTGACGGGCCATACACCTGTACCTGAAATGTGCTCTAGTGGATGCTTCTAGACGCTCCTCCTCCTCCCAGAAGACCCTGGTGTGTAGAGCCACAGTGAAGGCCAACTGTCTGGCCTTAACGGCAGTAGCCACCTTGGCTAGGATCCTGAGAGAGTGCCTTCTTTCCCCCTCCTCCCCCCCTCCCTCTGTGGCTCATCCAGTGAGGGCAGTGTCTGGGATCTCCAGAAGATTCCTCCCTACATGCCCCAAGGGAGAGGGGGCTTGGGGGAGGGAGACCAGGAGGCCAGGCTCTCCGCCTCCACGCTGAGGAAGCTATATGGCCTCTGGCACAGGTCCTCTTGTCAGGCCTTCGGGGAGGCTCGTTCAGCTTTCAGGGTGGCCCCGCCTGCCAGCCAAAGAACCAAATGGGAACCAAAGCCCTGACCAGCAGACTGATGGAAACAGGAAATTCTCAGTGCTGCTTGGAGCTTTAAGAATCAGCCACGCCTGCCTCCAGCACATTCAGCCCCCAGGCCCCTCCTACCACCACCATCCTTTCACGGAAGCCCAAAGACCCAGGGCCAGTTGAAAACATTCCCAGTGGTGCCACTGAGGGCTCAGCTCAGAAGAAATCTCTGCTCCACACCACAAGGCTAATCCTGCCCTACCCTCACATGGGTATTTCTGGTTGCGCTAAATACACAGCCATGTTAGCTACCCCATAAGACACCCTGGCCTTTACTGACCTTTGAAGCCTCATTTTCCAGAACACACCAAGAGTCAAAAAATTTGTGTCTGGAACCAGAGTAGACACCCTACTGCTCCCACGCTCCTGGCCACGGAATTGTCTGTACATCCTGTAGCCACTCTGGAACCAACCAGTAGGACCCCAGAGACAGTATTACACACACATGCGCACATGCACACATGGCAGAAGGAGACATCCATTCCCCAGAAACAGCCCAGAAACTGCCAACGGGCCTGACACCCATCTGAAAACTGGGATCCAGTATTCAAGATCATCTGGCAGAAAGTGGAACTCTCGGCTTTGCACACCTGCTGGAGCCCCACTCTCAGGAGGGTTGCTTGAAGGTGCTATACGCTCACCTTCTGTATGCTGGGTGGGCAACTCGAGAATCAGGGATCAGGCAACACCCTCCTGAGAACACAAATTGGCACCTTTCCAAAGAGCCCTGGGCTTCCGTTTCTCTCTCTTTTGCATGACATATGTGTGGCCTGAGAGGATTCCAGGAGCTCTCTCCTTTGAGTCGCAAAGCTTCGGACTGCAAGAATCCCTGAGGTCCTTACACCTACACAGACAACACTAGTTTTCATGAGCCCCTTAGCAGGGGTTTATGGTAATGAAGAGGACACTTTTGGTCCCAGAGAGACAATTAGTGGGGATCAAAAACCAAGCCTGCCTAATAGAAAATGAACTGTGGCCAGGGTTCACCCTTCTCCCTCCTCCTGCAGGTGAAGGAAGGGGCTGCACATTCCAGGTCAGCTATGCCTTTAGTGGCCCCACCTGGCTTCCTTTATTTCCTCCAGCGGGGTGGGATTGACTGCCCTGCATTATGGCATTTGCCCGGCCTGCCCTGAATGCACTCCCTGCACTGGCCTGTCCGCCACACAGCTGAGCCAATCATGGGGCCCTGGCAAGGCCTGCCCAGCATGTGGGGCCCAGGACCAGCCTGTTTCCTTCTGTGGCAGGGTACACAGTCACATCAGTCGTGTCCTCCAGGCAGGGCCGGGTATACGTGGCTGGAGCCCCCCGGTTCAACCACACAGGCAAAGCCATCCTGTTCACCATGCACAACAACCGGAGTCTCACCATCCACCAGGCCCTGCGGGGTGAGCAGGTAACAAAAAGGGAGTTTAGGGGGTGGACAGAGGGGGCTGGACAAATGGGAAAGGCTGGGCTGGAGGGGTCTCTGGAGCTCATCTCTTCCCTCTCAGTAGGATAGTACCCAGACCCACAAACATCCTTCCTGGTTGGGGGACATATATCTCCTTCACACTAGCCTTGAATCTGGACTGTCCCATCCCCAGAAAGCCAGGTCCTGGTCCTGCTGCAGCAGGAGAAGCTGGGGAATTTGCTTGCCTCCCTTTCATGGACCACTGCCCCTGATGGCCAGCTTCTTCCTGGTCATATCTAGAGTTCAGGGCTAGAGGCAGCATCTAGACTGTGGCTTCCCAGCCTGGGCTGCCAGGGTCCCTAGGTGCCCTGAGGGGTGGTCATGTTCTTCAAGCCACCTTCATGCTGCCAGGAGTAGGAGGAGTTGTGCATCCACCCACTCGAGGCCCCATGGGTTCGTCAAGACACCAACTTCTTTCATTTTCCTGGAATGTTAACAATGCTGAATGACACGGCAGCCAACACCGCTGCCCGCCTGGGATGTGGTGGCAACCAGACCGTGCTGCTGAGAGTCTCGTGTTGGATGATCACAAATACAAATGGAAAGCTGTGAGAAGAGTCAATGGTGGTGAAAAGATCAGAAAATAGGGTTCTGATCCAGGTCATTTCAATAGCTGAGGAAGACTGTGGTCCTGAGAAGCAACATAGCTTTTCCATGGTCATTGAGTGGGTTCATGGCTGGGTCAAGTTCAGAATCCAAGACTCTTGGTGGGGTTCTCTGCATTATGCCACCTCCTGACCTCCAACAACCCCAAAGTCAGGCCTTGCCCCCCCCCCCC